CGGGCTGCATTTTAAAGCTACCAGGTCCGGGATTTGAACCGCGGTCGTCTACGTGGGAGTCCAGCAATATAGCCATTACGCTAACTGCTAGTTCCCCAGATTCTTTTCTGTTACCAGTATAACCAGAAGTCTGGTACCAGTACCAGCAGATGGCATAATGGTTATGTCACTGGACTGTGGTTCAAGTCTCTGACCCAGCAGCTTAACACTCATGCCAGGTGCTTGTGTGTGTGTGTCCAAAATTTTGAGAGGAAAATGGAGGAGATGGAATTGCAGGGTGGCCATCCTCCTGAGGGTTGAGTCTTATTTCCTGTCTCTCTGTCTCTTTTTCTCCAGCCAGTGCACACTTCCTATAGCCAAAAAACAAAAACAAACAAACTAAAACTCACTAAAAAAGGAAAAAGAAAATTGCACTTTGCATGTGTTCCTGTATGCCAAAAATCCCAAGTGGAGAATGGAGGAGAAAGGATTGTGGAGGGGCCATCTCCCCTATGGGGTGATTTCCCACTTTCCTTCTCTCTCTGTCTCTCTCTCTTTGTGTCTCTCTCTAGTGAGCACATATACCCTAGAGTAAAAGCTAAAAAAACAAACAAAAAAAGAAAACCCCACCAGGTTCACGTGCATGTGCGTGTGCCCCAGACCCTGACAAAATGGAGAAATGGAGAAGGGATTGCAGTGTGATCATGCCCCATTGGGAGCACCATTCTCCCTATACCTCCTTCTCTGTCTTTCTCTGGTGAAGAATGTGCCATCTAACAGTTTAAAAAGACTGATTTTCCCAAAGGTTAATCTAATAAGACAGATACCCAAGACTAAGCGCAATATGAAGTCACCTTGACTCTCTCATGGTTCCGTTACACCAGGAAGATGAAAGATGAATAAGACGAGGCTCCCTTCCTCAAGATTTTCAATCTCCTGCAGGTCCTTCCAACAGAAATGCCCTCGAGCTAGAGAGAAGCAGTCACACAGGCCGTGTCAGTTTGATACCAACACGCACTCTAAACAGACCACCCTTTGCTATAATTTCGGAATCCCAAACACCTTTATGACCAGCTATTTTGTCTACTATCCATTTAGAGATAAACTAGTGCAGTGAGACTTTTCCTCCCCATTTTTAAAATTGTGATTAAAATACATTTAACATAAAATTTGCCTTTTAATTGTTTCAAGCATCCAATTCAGTGGCATTAATTGCATTCACAAGGTTGTGCAACCATTCCCACTATATTTCCAGAAAATTTTTCATCACCCCAAACAGAAACTCTGTACCCATTAGGCAATAATTCCCCCTCTTCCACACCTCCTCTTGGTAACCTCTCATCTACTTTCTGCCTATTCTAGCTATTTCATATAACTCCAATACAGTATCTGTCCTTTGGTGTCTGGTTTATTTATTCATGACGTTTTCAAGGTTGCAATGAACATTTTTGGTTTTATTTTGACTTTTTTCTTTTAAATATGGGGGATAAATATTTTCTCTACTATCCAAGTAGAGATAAATCTGTTCAACCATGTTTTTTATTTTCATATTTGCTTGGTATTTTTTTGTAAGGGAGAGGAAATGCTTACAAACCCTATTATTTTCCTTTTTTTTTTCCTCTTTCCTTTGCGACACTTTGCTTTTTGCCCACATTCACAATATGTTCTTTCTGTAGGGGCATTGGTGTGTTTTCCACTCTCACTCCACTGTCCTGACCCGCAGGACACTCGAATAGGTTCCCTGGGGGAGGGAGTGAGAGATGGGACAAACACACACACACACACACACACACACACACACACAGTACTAGATGCTGATCAAGTCATCTTCTTCCTCTGTCTACTTCCATTTATTGAGGAAAAATGGCGAGTTATATACAGCTGGTGGGCACCAATTGGTTGCCTGAAATGCAAATGAGATAGAACAGCATGAACCAATCATTGATGTGGGTGGATATCTCCCATTGCCTAAAAATCCAACCACTTCCGGGGAGAATGGTTGGTCACATGATTTCTGAGAAACGGTTTGCTCAGTGAGGAAGTGAAGCCTAATGGTTTCCAAGATGGTGTATAGCTCAAGATGGCGGATAGCTCAAGATGGCTTCCGTATGCAGTGCCCTCCACACTCCACAATCGTCTCTGGCTCCTGTAGATGTAGTGTGAGCAAACACTACCCACAGTAAGAGAGTTCTGACCCCGGGCCTGGAGGAAACAGATGACGTGACTCATTAGGTACGCCGTTCCCTCCAAAACGTCAATGGCACATTTTCAAGGTGAGGCTGAGAGAAAATTCTGGATTGACTGCTGTTCACTACCTCCTAGCTTCTTTCCACATTTCAGTCACAATTTTTCTATCAACTGACATGGCTGGGATTGTGACCATTGCTTCAGGTTCTTCTTTTTTTTATAAGTGTTTTGTAACTGGTATTCACAAGTTTGACCAAAGTGGTCTAACGCGGCAATGGCTACTCCTTTATCCTCTTGGCAGGCTTACCCTGGCATAAGCTCTCTTTGGCAACATCAGCAAAATAATAGTAGTGATACTTGGCTTTATAGTGTACAATGTTTTCTTTAAAAAAAAAAAAAAAGCATAGGGGACCAGTAGGTGGTGTGGTGGTTAAGGCGCTGGACACTCCCACATGGCCGACCAGGGTTCAAGTCCTGAATCTGGTGGCTTACTTTCTCACTTCCTCTCTTTCTCACTGTTACCCTCTGTCTCTCTGGTCAAACTAAAAAATAAATGAATGAATAAATAAAATAAAATAAAAAAATTTTTTTTTTAAAAAGAGCATTGGGACCAGCAGTTAGCGTAATGGCTATGTCACTGACCGTAGTTGACCACGGTTCACATCCCGGACCCAGTGGCTTAAAACTCACGCCAGGTGCGTGTGCGTGCGTGCCCAAGATCCCCAGAGGAGAACGAAGGAGAAGGGATTGCGGCGTGGCCATCTCCCCAGGGGGTGATTTCTCACTTTCTGTCTCTCTCTGTCTGTCTGGCGAGCACATGCGCCCTGTAGCAAAAACCTCTTCAAAAGAAAAGCATTTATTTATTAATTATTATACTTCAGTTTGACTGGAGAGAGACAGAGAGAGATAGAGGGGGAGAGTGAGAAAGCAAGCTACCAGGTCCAGAACTTGAACCAGGGTCAGCCATGTGAAAGTCTAACACCTTAACCACCACACCACTTGCCAGCCCCCGTTTTATTTTTTTTTGAGATTTTTTTTTAAAGAAATTATTATTTTTAAATTTTTTTTTCATTTAACTTTATTATTATTATTATCATTTCAATTTGAACAGAGAGAGAGAAAGAGAGGAAAAGTGAGAAAGTAAGCCGCCAGGTCTGGGACTTGAACTATGGCTGGCTATGTGGGGATCCAGCGCTTCCCACCATCACAACACCTGCCAGCCACCAACTGCCAGGCCACCTTTTTTTTTTTTTAAGAGATTTTACTATAGGGCATGTGTGCTTGCCGGAGAGAGACAGAGAGACAGAAACTGAGAAATTATGCCTAGGGGGATGACCATGTGGCAATCCTTTCTCTGTTCTCTTGGGATCCTGGCATGCATGCACATGTTCCCGGCATAAATTTTAAGCCACCAGGTCCAAGACTAGAACCGTGGTCAACTATGTGAAAGTCCAGTGACATAACCATTATGCCATCTACTGGTCCCAGGTGTATTACATTTTCATTGTAATTTTCCTATGTGTCTGATGCCGGAATGGACAGTGATACTCGTTCTTCATAGTAGTCAGGTCTGTGCCACTCATTGCTTGACCAAGAGACAAAAGTTGGTGAATACATGCCCTATGGCAAAAACCTGAAAAAGCAAAGAAAGCGAGAGAGAGATCTAGATGTACAGTTCTGGACTGTGGACTCTGGGTAAACATTAGCTCATCACTATGCCTTCTTCATCCACAAAATCAAAAAATTGTGATGAGAACTACAGGAGAGAAAGCATAACAACAACAATAAAAATGAGGGTCAGCAGGTGGCGGGCTGGTTAAGTTGCAGGACTCCCACATTTTCCACCTTGGTTCAATACTGGACCTGGCAGCTTGCTTTCTCACTTTCCCTCTTCCTCTCTCTCTGTCTCTCTCTGGTCAAATTAAAAAATCATGATAATAAATATAATTAAGTAAATATTTTTAGTGAGAAAGCAAGTTGCCAGGTCCAGATCTCAAACCACAGTCGGCCATGTGGGAGTCCCTTAATCACTAAATAAATAATTCTAAAAAAAAAAAAAATGAGACCAGCAGATGGCGTAATGATTATGTCGATGGATTCCCATGTAATTGACCACAGTTTGAGTCCTGGATCTGGCGACTTAATACTCATGTTGTGTGTGTGTGTGTGTGTGCGTGCGCGTGCGTGTGCCCAAGATCCCAAGAGGAGGAAAGAGAAGAAGGAAC